GCGTGCGTTCAAATCCCGGACGAGCCCAACTTTTATTTTTATCAAAATCAGTTTATGACGTCATTTAATGATTTTTTAAAAACCTAACATCTATCATCAACATTTATATAAACATCAAGTCATTTTTAGATTTTAACAACAATTTAACATAAACTTCGTGTAAATACATCAAATTTTGCTATTTAATTTAAATTTAAATATAATGGCAGGACAATATGGGGTAGAGTTTTCTTTAATTCTTTAATATTATACTACTCTTATTATATTTACAATTAAATATCTAATAGTTTATTCATCGTTAAAATGTTTAATAATTCTTTCGAAAATAAATTTCCAAAAGTTTACGACCAAGGTTCGCAGGGCATGGAGGCACGGGGAGATAAGATCGGCGGCCAGGAGGTTTTTTTTCATCTTCATCCACGCATTTTTTTCGGTAATGTTGGATAGACTGGTTTTCCAGATATCCCTATCTCACTATCCGGACGAAGAGAACAATTTCTTCACGTGGAACCAGGCTATCTTCAGAGGGCTTGTCACTGCCTTGATGTTTGTCTACATTCTGACTCCAAGTAAGTAAATACTATTAGTAGCCTAAATACTAATTTGGCTTTTGGCATGAAATCAAATTGTTATAATTAACTGGAATTATTTTAATTAATTAATGAGATTTAATTGGAATAATCAAAATCACACCCAAAGATTCAAGCCTGAAAAAGATTGTTGTGTTTTCCTATGTTTTCACTTGGCTGGCTAGTTCCCTAATCATGAGCAGCATTCCGGATAACTTTGTCAAATGGAGGGATCTAATTATCAAACAATCAGTGAATAACTGCCATTTAATCGTAAAATTTGTCCTTTTCCGTTGTTTCGAATCCGTCATGAAATGATTATTTCATGGTCCGGTACCATGATTTTATCCAATTAATTAAATTAAATTAAATTAAATCGTTAATTATGGCATAATTTTTCATCAGGATCATGTTTTTATTAACAACTTAACATCAAATACTAAGTTAATTATGATATTTTAACATTAATTGATCGACAAATAACTTTTTAATTGTATCGAATTGATCAAACTAGACTAGCAGAATCTACATTACGGAGTTTTTACAAAATGTCTTAATCATTCGCTAGAGTGGATTTTCACAAATACAAATCATTTTATATACTTACAAACAACTTAAATAAATTTTATTTACTATAAATAAATTAATAAATACTCAATAATTAACACAAAAGATATATTTCATACGACGTTTACCATTAAATTTACAACAATCAAATTTATTTTTAGTACGATAATAAACAGCAAGTGAAACAGCAGGCCTGTTGGTCTAGGGGTATGATTCTCGCTTCGGGTGCGAGAGGTCCCGGGTTCAATTCCCGGACAGGCCCTAACTTTTACTTCAACTTTTTTATTATTTTATTTTGTCATACCTGCATTAATTTTTGTTCACATATAATTTTAGTTAATAATTTTTTGAAAATTATGTTTCTTCAAAGATATTTTTTTATAAAAATTGAAAAAAATATATAAAAATAAATTTGAAAGCAGCCACCTTGTTAAATATGACATTCCCCTAACACCTAACTCTGATTTTACTGTTGATGAAGATGTTTTTCATTCTAGAATAAGCATCTTTCGACTTCCGAGATAATTGAAGCTGTTGGACTCGTTTCACTTTCACATTTTTCGAACAGTAATCTAAATAGAC